GAACACATTGGGGGGGATTATTTAAAATCTGGAAGGTGCTCCACTCAGAATTTTTGGAAAGTTTCTTAGTTCTCAGTCCACTTGAAAGAAACAAATAGGAAATCATAGGTTGTGACTAAAAGACAGGTTAGAACGCAAAGAACAGTCCAGATCCTGCATCCAAAACATGGCGAGTTATTATATGTGTGTGTTTGTAAGATAAAATATCTAATAGACACCATTTGTGTGATTCACTTCACTCTCTCATTACTGGGTCCCAGTCACACTGGCCGAGAGATACACAGGTTTCCAACTTAAACATCCCCAAGTACCTGCAGGCAAACTAATCAGGTTCTAATGCTGTTTCCCATCAGCAAGAGCCTTACCCAAGCCTTCTAGAGTTCTTTGATTGTGATAACGTCCTCCCTTTAACCTTCACAGAATTCTGGCCAACACCTGCCCTGTGCCCACAGGAACCTCCTGAGAGCACAACGGCTTCGGCCCCTAACGCCAGCTCCATCAGGGGACACACCCGCCTGGCTCACCCAGGATGGTGCCCAGCCCAGTGCAGGTACGTAGCAAAAGCTGTGTACGCCAAATATAAGGCAAGGGATTCCCACCAAAATAATCACAAAAAAATTGGAACTGTCTGATATATTAGAGCCTTATTCAGACACATTGAAAAGTACTCTCTGAATTACTCAGTTGAGAACCTCAAAACCCTCTCGGAAAGACAAGTTGCACTGAAAACCTCCATCAATGTAGTTAGGGTGTTTAAGGAGTCACCTTGCAAAACTGTAAAACAGAACAAAATACAGATTAGGCCAAGAAACTCAGCAATTGCGATGGCAGCACATTCAAAAGGCTAAGGCGGTTCTGAGCGCCAGCACAGCATGGCAAGCATTTGCTAGCCTTGCGCATCGTAACACGGTGTAAAAGTTCCGGGGCAGCACAGTTAACTGATTCCTGATGCCTCGTCTCAGAGGCACAAGTGAAAGCAGAGCTCTGCCCACCAGGCTGGAGGGTCCAGGCAATGCTGGTGAAAGATGTGAGTGAAAGGTGTGGAAAGTGCTTCAAGAACCAAAGAGAGTGAGTACATTCCCAGCAGCTACCTGTCACTAAATTAACAAACATTTAAGCGGATACCTGCTAATCTACCCACCTAAAACGTCCACACGTCCCAAAGGAAGGTTGGAGCAGCATCTCACTGGGAAACAGGACTGTCTTATATTCACAGTCACCTACTACTAAGGCATATATGGTACCCGTTGATAACGAGTGCCCATCTATTACACAGCACGCCGCAACACCCCGGCCCAGGACTTAATCCAGTGGACAGTCAAGTACCAGAGCCTATTTGGAAGTGATGCTCAGTTGAAGGCTTTGCCCGCCACACTCACAGACCTGCTTACAGTGCAGCCCTCTATGCGGGACGTCTGGTTGCCCAAAAAGACTCCCAATGACTATTGAAAATCAGTAGATTAAAGGCTAGATGGTACTACAGTCCACAGGGCCACTACTTTTTCTTTCCTCTCTGAAAATGATCAAATATAATATTGGATTTAATTCAGACTCTTCCTGGGACCCAAGCTTAGTCCCCCTGGCGAGTGGGACCTGGAAGAAAGGACCGAGGGTCACACTGAGATAACACAGGAGAAAAGGAAAAAAGGAAATGTGTTCCAGAGCCCGCTAGGCTCAGACAGCCCTGGACATAGTTTGTTAGCTGTATGTACGTGTCCTGAGAGAAAGCCAACCAACCATCCCAAACTCCGGGCGACAAAAAATTAACTCCCTGGTACTAAGTGTCATGAATAAAAGTTGTAAGTTCAGCCCCTTCACAAACGTCTTTAAATGCCACAAATGCCACGGAGCCCAGGAGCCGCCTCAAGGCCAGCTGTTACCCGCCACCCTCCTGATCAAACACGATTCACAAAACGTCCCCACTAGAAGCATCATTCCAAAAATCATTTAGTTCTCCAAGCAGGAGGAAGTAACCTGGTTATTTTGCAAATAAAGACCTTTAATTATAATACTTTAGATAATAACAGCAAGGCAGGAAAGAAAAGTTTGAAAATCTGTAATAAGAACACTTGTAACTGGATTTAATCACAATTAAAACCAAATAAATTAACATCAACTCCCCTTCAGCAGTGACCCCGTTTATAAACATTCCTTGACTATTCTTGACTTTTGAGAATGGGCATTCTCCCTGAGTCTCCATTTCCCTGATCTATAGGAAAAGCCCAGTTTGGCAAAGTCTGACTTTTAACTCCAAAGCTTAACACTCAAGGGCTTAAGTTCCTAACCTCAGTGACACTGCAGTGCTGAGCAATTTGGATGGAGAACTTTCCCCTCGCCTCAGCACTTCACATTTGGAAAGGATTATTTAAATGGTTTATACACCACCAGATCTTGAAAAGGTCAACAGTAGAGGGATACGGTTGTGCTTTCTAAAATGAATGATATTTGCAATAAATCAACAATCTTTTCAAGCTTTTCTACATTTAAAGAAAATACAAAACATGAGTAGTTCCTTGTTTCTCACTTAAACCAGCATCCCACAGGCTCCCCTCCGTCCAGCAACCGTGCCCAAGGTGGCCGAGGGTGTGGAATGACACACTCTAAGTAGCTCTTGAAACCAAATCACCGGAACCCTCAAGATAAGGTCTTTGAAACAGAAGCAGTCCATGCTGTACAATGTAGCTGCACACACACACACACACACACACACACATACACAAACCCCTCAAATAGCAACCCAGTGGAAACACAATGGGCCTGAGAACCCAGGGGAGGACCAGGGGCCAAGTCCAGAAGGGCTGAGCCAAACATTCCTGGGCTCCAGGTTAACTTCTCCCCTCCTGCTAAAGGAGTTTGTACTTTGCGTTCTTGCAACCCAGGCACTCACTTGCCTCTGCCAGGTCCTCCCTGGCCAGACACCAGGCAGGAGGCCCACCATCTTCCCAGCAGCCAGAACCTGGGAAGACACTAGGTGCTAACTTCAGCCCAGGCGGGCGAGGGTGTGGGAGGGCTGGTCTGGGGGTCCAGGAGAAGGCTGTGTCTGCGGAGATGGAGGGCGCAGCAAGGTTAAAAGGTGGGGAAAGAGGCCCAGCTTTGCGAGGGACTGAAGGGGGGCAGGGGGGCAGGGAGCCTTGCCCGCCTCGGGGAGGGCGGGGGGCTGCCACACACGCACAGGCCACCACAGAGCAAGTGCAGGGGGAAAGGGATTCCAGGGGAGAGGATGGGCGGACGGCAGGTGCCAAAGAGAAGTTCACAGGGGAGGGGGCTAGAGGGGAGCACGTGATGTCCAAGAGTTGCCAAGTAGGACTTGGAAGGTTACACTCACGGAGTCCCTGGAGGGAAGCAAGTTGAGAAAGAAGGCCATCGCGCAGCACCTCTGGTCTCCTGCCCTTCCTCGCCGCCCTCCCCCCACCAACACACTCACACCTCGACGAAGCGCATACCCACCTTTGCTGGGGGCGCGCTCCTGCTGGCTGCCAGCTCGCGCAGGCTGGCGTTGGCGCTGGTCGCCGCGGGGAGAACCGGGGAGCCGGAGGCGCTGCCCCCAGGACCCGCGAGCGCCGAGGCCGCTCCCGAACCGGGGCCGGGGCCCGGACCAGGACACGCGGGCGGGCTGCTGCCAGGGCTGGCGCCGGCGCGGGGCCGCTGGCGGATGCCGTCCAGCAGGCGCACCAGCAGGATGTTGGCGGGCAGTTCGTCCACGCCGCAGCCCACGAGGATGCGGCACTCGGGGCAGCGCAGCTCGTGGCGCGAGCACACGATGCTCTCCAGGCAGCGGCGGCAGAAGGTGTGCTGGCAGGGCAGCACCTTGGCCGTCGTATCCAGGCGCTCCAGGCACACGGAGCACTCCAGCAGGTCCAGGAGCGACGACTCGTCCATGTCCCCGCCCAGCCTGTCGCCGTCGCCCTCGCTCTGCGCAGCGGCGGCCGCCCTGGACGCGCACAGCCTGGGCGCTCCGAGCAGCATGGGGGCGGCGCCGGCGGCGGCGCGCACCTCTAGGTCCCGGGGCCGTTGCGGAGGCCGCCGCGGGCAGTGGGCGCCAGGGTCGCGCCCGAACAGCCGCTGGGGAACCGGGCTGCGCCGCGACTTCCTTCCCTGCGGCTGGCAGCGCCAAGTGGTGCCAACCGGCCTGCGTGGCAGGGACCGGAGCTCCGAGCCCCTCGAGCCCCCTCCGGGCCGCCGAGCCCACCCAGTTCTTCGGCGCGAGGCGCCCCCGAATGCGGGCTACACCTGTCCCTCCGCGAGTCCGCCCCGCACGGGATCCAGCGGCGCTGCCGGTCGGGCACAACACCCGGAGGCTCTGCGCTCGCAACGGCCAGTCCGATGCCGTGGAGGCGGGGGCGCAGCGTGCGCGCTCCCCCGCACCGCCTCTGTGCGCCCTTGGCCTGCCCGCGAGCGGCTGCCCAGCTGGCGCAGCGGGACCCCTCCTCGTCCTCGGCCGCGAGCACGTGCGCGGGGAGCGCGCGGAGGTCACGGTCACTGCGGGGCACGGGGAAGGGGCAGCTGCGCCCTGGAGCTGCCTCCGCCTGGGCGCACGCAGCCACCAGTCCTGCCGTTAGGGCGCCTCCAGGGCCCCCAGGAACTCCGGGGCGCTCTCCCGCGCAGGCCCGGGCCTGTCCCCTCTGGCGCCCGAGCCTCCCTTCGCTCTCCGTGAGCCTCGGAGCGGGATGTTTCCGCCTGACGCCGCCGCGAAGGAAAGTTTGGGCGGCGCTACGCGGACCGCCTCCCTGGGCAGCGCCGGCCAGGAGCTTGGGGACGCAGCCAACACCCGGGCATCCTCCTCGACGACGGCCCGGTCCCCTACCCGGCGGCGCGCGGAAGTGACAGCTCCGGAGCCGGGGTGGGCGCGGGGCGCCGGGCGAAGCGGAGGGGAGGGCGCTAGGGTCCTCCCGGCGACGCGTGTCCAAGACTGCGCCGCTGCCCGCCGGACCCCAACCTCGCGCAGAGCGCCCTTGGGGACGCGCTCGACCCCCTTCTCGGGAGGCGCAGGCGAGGGGAGACGCGGTCTCCTTCCCGGCGCCCGCCTTCGGGCGCGTCAGAGCGACGCAAGAGCGCACGGAGGCCCGGGGGCCGCGGGGCCGCGGCCGGTGGCACAGATTCCCTGCCGAGCGCTGCCCCCTCGTGGCCGCTCTGGGCCCAGTCCGGGGTCGGCGCAGCCTGGTCCAGGGCAGGACTCGACCGTGCACTTCTCCGAACGGGGGCTGCAGCAGAAGGGCGCGAGGGCCCTACTCCCGGTCGGTCAGGCTGTCTTGCGGTTTGTGAAGCTAAGTGTAGCTTTTTTTACTTTCCAGGGAGAAAGTAATACTTGTTGAGGCTTCAATGCCACGAACGTGCATCTTTTTATTTAATCCTTTAAACAACCCTGTCGGGTAATTATTTTAACCTCATTTTGCATATGAGGAAGCTGAGGCTCATAGTTATGAAATCATTGTGGCTGGATTTTGTTAATGTTTCTGTCTCCAGAACCGAATGCGTGGAAAAGGTCACAGTCCACTATGATACCAGCTCCCTACAAGCCACATATTTTTACACTGTAATATCCCCAGTGCCTAGGGCAATGCCTGGCACATAGTAGGTGTTCAATAAATATTTGTGGAATTAATGAAAAAACAGCCTCCAAATCCTCGCCTAGTGGTGATTTGAATGCACATCTTAGAGTCTCTGTTCCGGGTATACTGAGTCACACCCTTGGTCCATGAAGTGAGGCTGCCAGCTCATTGAAACTTTGCTCCTAACCTCTGACGGCCGCAGGAGACTTGCCCCACCTGCCTTCCAGGTTCTCCTAATGTGGATTGTGCACGATTATTCACATCAGCACTGCCAGTGAGAGGTGGAGGCATCTCTCCCGTGCTGCCTGGGGAACCAGACCTTGGGTCAGGCCTCCCTGGAGGGGCCACACGTGGCCCTCCTTCCACCCTTTGATCCGCACTCAGAATGACAAAGGACCCAGAATGCTTGATCCAAAAGCAGGTGGCATGGACACAGGACTCGGGGAAGCTGGGAGGGGTGGCAGAGAGCAGGGGCTGTCTAGGGTGACGTGCCCTGGGTGCTTTGGGTTTCAAGCAGCAGAAACCAGCTCTAGCAAGGTTTTAAAAGGAACCAAAGAGGTGATGGGAATCAGGACCCCAGGCTAAGAGCTGGGCCAGGTCACTGCAGATGGGCCCCGGGGTGGGTGGTCTCTTTC